CGTACGTACGGTAACGTACGGACGTACGGTACGTACGGTACGTACGTACGTAGGTAGTAGGTACGAGAGACGAGAGAGAGAGAGAGAGAGAGAGAGAGAGAGAGAGAGAGAGAGAGGTTTGAGAAACAAGGGTGTAGAAAACGTGGGGTGGACGCCACCTTATATAGGCCTTAAACTTGAGGGTATTCCAACTTGAATTAAGAACAATTTGACCTTAGGAATCCTAGGTAATTTGTGAGGTGAGAGAAATAAATCAGAGCAATCCATTCTTAAAATCAGCTATCATGATTAGGAAGGAAATCTAGGGACCTTGTCCCCTGAACCTTTAACCCGTATCTAGGGGTGAGAACGGGTCGGATCGGGGATGGATCCGACCGAATCCGAATAGTGTACATCGGATCTGGGTTCAAATTGGATCCTAGAGATTTGGATTTGTATCCGAATAGTATATATCAGATCTGGATTTGGATCCGGATTATATATACTATTTAAAAAAATTATATATATAAAATAAAAATTTACTATTTAAAAAAGTTGGGTTGGATCCCGATCGGATCCACCTGCACTCGGATCTGATGTACACTGAATTTGAGATCCAAATTTTGGGTCCAAACCCGGATCTGAATAGGGTCCAAAATTTGGGTTTTGGATCCGGATTGGGTCAATTCTCACCCCCACCTGTATCCATTTCCAATAGAAATAGATCTCCTAAAGTCCCATAAGTCATGGACTCTTACTTGCATAGAAACAACTTCTAATATCTTTGGACATCTAAGTTAATATGAAGATCAAATTCAAAGTCGACAAGAATGTTTTTCCAACCAAATAATTTAAGATCTTTTAGGAAGATTTCCCGGTCAAGTGAACTCCATAAGATTTTGGATACAAAGGGGTTCCCCCCTATTTGGGGCGTGTGGCCCATGTGGGCCCCCCACGTGTGGGAACTGCACCTATGGCCCCCCACATGGGTCACCAGGCCCCTATTAATTTTTATTTCTAAAAATTTCCAAAATACCTCTTTTAGGGTTGTATTGCATAAAATAGCACTTAAAAATTCTAAAAATATTTAAATATCACCAAAAATAAATAAAGTTTAAACAAGATTTATGAAGTTCTTAGAAAATTTTTAAAACATTCAGAATACCTCTAGAAGTGGTTGGTACCAATGGATCAGGAAAAGTGATTGTTAGGGCACTGCACTTGTGCCAATAACCATGATTCACAACTATCTTCTTAAACTAGACCAACGGGGCTTATAACCCATAGTCATGTGTAGGGGTTAATGATTGGCTCGTCAAAGTTGACCAATAAAAAGTTGAACCATAGTCCTAGTATGTGGATTACATGTTCCCCTTTAAGAGCAAGTCACATGCACATATCACTATAGTACAAGGGGACTCTTTCTATGCACATGTACATATATCCCTCTATATCGTTGCTTATCAAAATACTGTTGTCATATGCAATTGTTGTGTGAAGATTTTCTTGAAGATTTAGCCCTCGCTCTCACATGCCTACATCCACACACATGAGATTACAAAGCTCTTCTAACCTTCAAACCATCTCTATCTCTCCGACTTCAACAAGGGATGACCCTCCTGAAAACCCTCAGCGGTAGTGCCAATACTAAGGGGAAAAAAGGTTTTAGACATGACCCAGGCCATAGACCGCCCAACTTTGGGTCAGTCAAGGAATCATATAATCCCATTCAATTACACAATTCACTATATTTATTATTTTATATGCTCTGACGGGCCATTCCCAAGCCATTCATGTCGGTCCCAAGCCCGGATAAAGGAGGGTTGTGTTATGTAAGGCAACCAGCGTAAAACTTTGCCACATCTTTTCATGAATCCTGGAGATGATGATGATGATGCTCTCACCGGCTTTAAAGGCCATTGACCCCAACATATCTCTCCCTCAAGACTGTTTTGCTCACCACTTCTTCCTACATCTTTATCAACAAAGAGTGGTGTCTCATCTACAACTTGATTTATTGGTCGATTATGAATTTTGTGATGAAATGGCACTTGCCTTTTACCTGAATCACCGGCATCCATAAAACGAGGATGCGTGTACATCCTCCTTTCATCAAAGGTTCCATGTCTTGAGATAAGAATTCTTATAAGCATGTTATATTTGTGTTTGCATAGATTCAAAATTTGTAGGCTTGTATACTAGAAGACTTTAAGGTGGTGCTGTCACATAACTTGAATGGAAGAATTTTATATTCTGTTTGAATCTTTCTCTTTTTATTTTCTTTTCCTTTCTTTCTAGTGCTTGTCATGATTTAGTTATTGATCTGGGTGTGCCACAACACGATATTTTGTTACTGTTTTGGACAAGCAGTAAAGCGGATAAGGTTACAACTGTTGTCCAATCTCAAGGAAGGAGGTTCCTTGCAGAGATAACAGGTCTCTCTCTCTCTCTCTCTCTCTCTCTCTCTCTCTAATGTTGGCTGACATTCTTGCACAGTGGACACTCAAAAAACATCTTTTATGAAATGACAGAGAAAATGAATCATCAAAAGGAAGCAAGCAGAGGAATGTTGCAAAATCCCCAACAAAGAAATGTTCCCCAGAAAAGGTAAAGATGGGGACATTGACTGGAGATAACTAACCACATTTATTATTTGTCAATCTTCAGTGTTGAATTCCAGTGTTTGTAATAAAACACAATGAGTTGTTTTGATGTTTCAGGCCATGTTCAAGCGTGAAAATGGCCACAAGGATACCTTTGAATGCCCGTGAACCTGATCCTAAAAGGAAGAAAGTGCAGCAGGTTACTAGCAGTGAGAATATGATTGAGTTGCATATTGTAAGCTCAGATGAAGAAATGTAGCAGCAGCCTGAATCATGGCCATCTTTCACCACAAATCTCTCTGGCGGTCTGTGAACAAGCATTGCGGCTTAAAAGGGTAAAAGTTTCATCAATCCTAATTGTGATAGAGGTTGAAAAGTTGTAAATAAATCATGTGTGAAGCTGTTATATATCAAAATTTTAATTACTTGCATTTATGATCGCTCTACCAAGATGTGGGGCTTGGTGATTATAGCTAGCCTTAATTATGTCAGTTTTGTAGCCAACGTATGCTCATTCAGTGATGGCTGTTTTTCTGAATTTTTGTAGTTCTTCATTTCAAGTAACATCCTAGCATTCAAAGTAGAAGTTGCTTCTTAAATTTTCTGTATGAAAAAGCATCCATGTTGAGCACTGGTTTTGTGTCATTACTTGCCTTTTCTTATTTTTAGATGGCAGTGGAAATGTCTCAATCATACTGAAGAATTGAGAGAGATGCTGGTCCTGAATATTTGGATGCCAAGGATAAATAATTCTGCAATGGAGTTACAAAAATGAAAGAACTAAACATTGAAAATGCTGTGGTGAATGCAAAATCTTTGAGGATGTCTGATAGTGGTCATAATTCAAGTCCTCTATGACAGTTTGACTTGATTAAAAATCTGTCATATTTTTAGACATAATTAAAGAACTGCACATCTGAAAAATCTGTGACAGGTTGATGGTGGTAATGCTTTGGAAAATCAAGCCTTCTACTTTTGGAAGAGAGCACTTTGAAGTTCTATGAATTATGAAAAAGCTCCAAATACAACTTTGCTTCGAACAGTGGCAAATCTGCTTATTCTAGTATAAGAATATGGTAGGCATCTTCATGAATGGTGAGTTACTTAATTTGAACTGACCAAACATTACAGTCTTGGACTTCCTTGTTTGAAGATAGATGAACAACCAGTATTATCTATAGGAAAGAAAATGGTTTGATAGGACTGCAGCCTTATGAAAATAAGTAAAGCTTCACTTCATAACTCATTGGAAATTACAATTCAAGCATTGAAAAACCTTTACATCGATCATCTTGGCTCGAATATTATGTTTGTGAAAAAAATTAGGATTTAAACTCTAAAAATAGTGTATATTGCAACAAGTTATCTAGGCCATCCATTTCGCTCTAAAACTAAGTGTTCATAGATCCGTAAGATTTGTACTATTTTTTTAATTTCAAATTTTATTGTTATTTTTAGAAATTGATATTAGAGCTATCATGGAGATTTCCATAGCCCAAAGTGCTTTCCCGACAAGGATTTGTTTATATTATTTCCATAGAGCCTAGGCCTTATAGAAACTTCATCCTTATTTATATGGTCGTGATTACAAGGGGATATAGGTAGAGGTGGTCTAGTGCCACAACTTGATGTTTCCATTTCACCAATGTCCCAACATAAACATTACAATAGAAAAGAACCCATGGTCATAAGAGTGATCATCACATCAATGAGTTGGACAATCATGTCATGGAAGGACATTAGTCCTGCGAACCATGTCAATGTAAAATTGTATCTGCTATTCTTCCTTCATTGTTCAGCCTAATATTTGGATGATGATAACCCTTGTAAACATGTTATATGACCATATAGATCATACTTACCACGATTCCTACCATTGAACTATTCCAAAGTAAAAAAAGAGGGAAAAAAAAAGAAAAAAAAAGAAAAAAAAGATGGTACACCTGAGGCCACACTTTTGTTTTCTTTTCCAATATTATTTGAACATGCGTCTGTGGATAGATGTGGGAGATGGGGAGAATCCATAGTAATAGTTGAGTTTGTAGAATCATGATAATTTGTTTCTTAGCTTTGGCCAAAATAAATATTACCAAAAGTACAATAGGATATCACTTCTTTTTAAGGCTTGGTTAAATGGCAGAGCTAAAAGACCAAATTTGTGATTTTTTTTTTTTAATGTTTTTTGTGAGCATTTTTCCGATTACATAAAACCCGAATCATCATGCCGATTGCATTGTTCTGCGGTAAACTTTTTATTAAACCAAAAATAATAATAAATAAAAAAGGTAAGAACTAGGTCTTAAGACCAAGACATGTACCCCACCGGCTCCAAGTCCACTCAGGCAGTTTCAAGTTAGACTTGGCGGTTTTTGAAGCACACACTAGACCGCCCAGTATTTGAAAAATCATCGATCCGATATGAAATCGGACGATCTTGAGGCATCATCACACACCATCAACAAACACACCTACCTAACGTCTGGCTTTTGCAGAATCGTTTTACACGTGGCAAACCTAACCTCGCTTTTGATGCATCGTTATACACGTGACCAAAACCAATCTGACTTGTTTCTTCAAGTTCGCCATCCTCCATGCCAAGTGGTCTTTCCCCCCTATGCAGAATATTTTAAGTTCTACGCCTTGTGCCGTGTCTTTTACTCGGTGTAGTGCTCCCTCGTCTTCTCAAGGTGGGGCAAATACTTGTTATCACTCATCGACTTGCAAATGGGTATAACGTGTCATCCATTTACGCCAGTTATTTAAAAAATGGATCGGTGTCTCGGATCGGGCACTCTAAAATCTGGATCGGTGAATCGGCTTTTTGAATCGCAAATAAATCAGATTTAGCCTTAAAAAAAATGCAAAAAAATTATTAAAAATCATTATAAATATTATTTTTTAAGAATCTAATAAGAAATGGGGGTATTACATTAAGAACTTTCATTTTTTCATCAATATGTGAATATTGAGATGTTTTTTCCCTGTATGAATAAATTTAAAATTTGTCTTATAATATCATCTAATTTTTTTAAAAAATATTTACAGCTATAATAAAAATAATACATTATATAATTTATAATATAAATAAATAAACAAATAAAATACAAGATTTGGTTATCAATGTATAATTATTAATAATAAACAAAAGTATGATCCTTACAAATAAATAAATCTATAAAAGTATAGAATTTAAAAACGTAAATTTATAATTATATTGTAATAAAATTTAAAATATATATAACTATCATACTTGCAATGTGGGATAATTGAAAAAATAATTTTTAAATAGATTTTAAAGTGGTTTGGGTAGTGTTATTATTATTATTATTATTTTTAAATGTCCCATAAATTAGTAACTTTTTTAATGTTCAACTAGTATTGATCTTATTTCTTGTTGTTCTAACGTTAATAACTATTTCAATGAGTATAAATTATGGGTGCAACGTTAATGAGTGATAACATTATTAACTTTTTCGTGCTATTAATGACACATTAATAACTTTAATGTTAATGAGTTACACGTTATACCCATTAACTTTATAATAGAGCAATTTTTTTTTGAGAAAATATCTCATTATCCCTTATTTTTAACTTCTATATCTTATCTGACGTAAGAATTGAAAATATTACTTGTAAGCAAAAAGATTCCATCTTTTCTATCTTCCAATCTCCTAAACCCTTTTAACCATGTATTATTGACCTCAACAACTTATGAAATGACTCTATCTCTCTCTCTCTCTTTTTTAAACTCCATCTCTCTCTCACATCATTGTCTTCCTTTCTCACATCATCGTCTCTCTCTTTAAAACTCAAACTCCATCTCTCTCTCACACATAACAAGGTGTGCTCGTATTCGAGCTCAAGCTAAACCCTTTGGCCGGTAAACTCACCAAGAAGTGAAGAGAGATAGAATTTTAGATAGAGAGAGATGGAGTTTGAATAAGGCATCATTTTAGTGTTTGTTTAGGTAAAAAATTTATGGTCAAAATGGTTCAGGGGCTTATAGGAAAGATAAAATTGAAGCCTTTGGCTTATAAATAATATTTTCAATTTTTAGGTCTCATGAAATATGGAAGTTAAAAATGAAGATAAGGAGATATTTTTTTATTTTTATTTTTATTAACAACACGTTAATAACTTTAATGTTAATAACCAGTAACTCATTAACGTGAACGAGTGATAACGTTATTAACTTATTAATAATAACTTTTTCCATGAGTGGGAAATGCCTTCCCAACGATAGAGAACGGTGATCTCGCCACACTACCATCCCTCCACTCAAATTAAATCAAAAGAACGGTTGAGATCAGCTCCAAAACCACATGTGAACGAAAGGCTGCGATTGCCTCAAAAGCTTCAAACCGACCAAAATTTCACCCGTTAGCCGCCTCTAAGCTCCGAACGTCCCTTTGCTCTCGCTCGCCGTATCTACTGCTCTGCGAAGGTCCCCTCTCTCGCTTGCTCCCTTCTCTCTATGTGAAGCTCCCGTTGCCCTCTCATCTCTCTGCGCTGCTGCCTCAGACGCCACACACACCTCTCATCTCTCTGCGAAGCTGCTGCCACAGACGCCACACACGGCTCTGTTTAGGGCATCAATTCGGGTGAGTTTGTGTGATTTTTTTTGCTCGAAACCAACCTCCAATCTCTGAATAAACTCGCAAATAATGAATAAAACCGATTTTGTTTCCAAGAAAGAACCCAAAAGTTTTTAGTAGATCCTAAAATGAAATGTTCAAATAAGACCCTACGTTTTTTTCCTAATAAATCACAAAAAACGGGGGAGAAATCACAGTCACAGAAAATGGATGAGAAAATTACATACGGGAGAGGAAATTTTGGGTTTGGATTAAAAATATTTAGGTGATTTATTTTGGGTTTGGATTCAATTTTGGGTTTGCGATTTTGAGCTCGAATGTTTTCTGATTTAGATTTCTCTGATAAATTTAGTTTCACTCACTATTGCAAGATTTACTTCTTATGGAGGTCCGTGATGCTGTCAAATACATGTTTATTAGGGCCCAATTTATGGATACTTGATATTAACTCTTAGATTTAGAAGTTACGGAATTTTAATTGGCCTTATTTGTTTAATGCTGATTTTCCATTTCTCGTTTGATTTACTTGCTAGAAACAAAGAACCAAAAGTAGTTGTACACCTTAAGCTAGGTATTTAACATTGTTTTGAAAATGGCTCAAGAATTTCAAGCAATGGTTTAAAAAACGGATCGGTGACCCGGATTGGGCTCCCAAAAAACCGATCCGGATCGGCGATCC